ACAACACTTATTCGACTTATATTTTGAATTTAAAAAAAAATTGTATTAAAAATATTTAATAAACAAACATTTGTATTTAATGGGTTACAGAGTTTGAAAAAAAATAAAAATTTATATGTCGGTTACAGAATTTGTTAAAAAACAACAAAATTTGTTTTTTAGTATGTACTATTTATATGTTCTTCATATTTAATATAAACAAATTGTGACTTAAATATTTAATAAAAAAATATTTCTACGTGGGTAACACAATTTGATAAAAAAAAATATTCAAAAGTGCACTACAGAAGTTGTTAAAAAAAAATACAGAATTTGGTAAATAGTATGAACTATTTTTGTGTTGTTCGTATTTAATAAATATTTTTTCTATATCAGATATTTCGAATTTAATGTTGATGAAATTGTATGTATTTAAAAAGTTTGTTGAATTGGTTTTGAATCAATAAACATAAAATTCTATGCACAATTAAACAAATAATTTTGCATTATATTTGAAATTTTGTTTTCATTCATTTTTTTTTTATATGTAATTCTCGTTATGTTATTTGTGCACAACAAAAATGTATTTCACATGTTTAACTTTCAGCAACAGTTTGAATATTTCATTATACAAAAATATGTCTATAGTTGTAAGTCTGAACGACAATTTCTAAAAATTGTAACAAAAAAAGTTACTAATTGTTAATAATTAATGACATATGCAAAAAATCATCACAAAAAATCATCACAAAAAATTATTTTTAACTATAATTTTATGAAAATTTATTTTCAATGAAATTTAATTTGAATTAATTTTAACTATTAAACTCATTCGTAGTTTATGTTAGATATTTTTTTCCAATCCGGGGTAGATGAATTCAAATTTTTTTTTTTTTTTTTGAAAACATCCAAATAATTTACTGAAAATGTCAAAATTAATGAAAAAAATTCACAATTTTTTACTGTAAATGAATTTAATGTTTACAGTAATAATGGTTTATGCATCTCAAATTTTAGTCAATTTTTGCATTAGGAACTCTTCAAAAATGGAGAAGTATTTGTCAAGAAACACGCATTACAAAATTTGGTTGGCGACACATTTGACCAATTGCAGTTCACATATTACAAATAACATAAATAATATATATATACAACTCATAACAAACAAATCTTCACATTATTTGTTGACATCACATATCTACCCATGACTAACATGATTTATCCACATAGCATTTGCAATTGCGTCCCTCAAATTTGATTGGTATGCCAACCCATGTTGTGATAGGTCCACATACTCAACTTGGCCTCCATCAAACCCGTCTGCAGCCGCTTCAGTTGCCATTTCATTATCAACTTCCATGAAGAATGGGTCCATAGCTGCATGCAAACGGATCCAATTGTGCACTACACAACATGCAATGACGAGGGGTCCTTGCCGTGTTGACTTGTAATTAGGCATGGACTACAATATTGGAAAGCGTTTCTTCAGTACCCGAAATGTTCTTTCTATGACATTCCGTAATGATAAATGTCGGTGGTTAAACAATTCCTTGGGTCCAGAATAATGACGGCTATAGAACTCTTGCAAATGATAGCGTTGTGAACGAAATGGGGCAAGAAATCCTAGCATATCGGTGAACCTGGCATCCACTAAATAATACTTACCTACATGTGAATAATGTTTGTAACGCGCCGTCAAATAATGTACACAAAAATTGTACAAGCAAAATATAGTATCTTATTTTGAAACAATGACCATGAGGTGGGTATGGGAAATATACATCAACTTTTGTAAGTGAGTCAACTAAAATTGCATTGTCATGGGTGCTACCTTCTCATCCAGAATTGATAAATGTGAACAACATGTCGAAGTCGCAAGATGCAACTACATTTTACGGTACTGTGGCTTTGTGACCACGAAATGTGTTCTGTCTTGAGGCAGGGACCCACGCATCCACCAATGTGCCATCGATAACACCGACACAATCTTACATCATATTAGAAGTTTTCCGTCAAACGTGTCTCAAACATAGATTTGACTTTAACAATCAAATTTATTCGTTACCGGCATTGCAAATTTGCTGGCCAAAAATTTAGTCATACCTTAAACCAAGGGTAAAACCTCCTATCATTGAAAATTTTTGCCAGTATTTTCGATTGGTTCTGTGGTTTGATAACCGTTGATGCAAGCTTGCATAGGGCCCGCATAATGATTTTAATGTGCCGACAAATCGTTTAAGTGGAGTGCTGAAATCAATCGGTCAGTAGCCTCTGTCAGTCATTTTGTGTGCATGTATATAAGAAAATGGCAAGCTATACCTCCACACTGATATGCATCTTTTCAATATTGACAAGGCCATTTTGAAGTAAGGCGTCTTTCAATGAAATGAAGGTTAGGGCATCCATTCCCATGATGTCCATCATTGTTTTAGGGTGGCCACTTAATAAACTGAAGATGAGATCATCACCTTTGAATGGACAAGTTCGTTGCGGTCGTCTTGTGGTTGACGCATTGATATGTTCATTCATAGAAGCAATCACCAAGAAGTCCATAAAATCTTCCATAACCTCATCCTTCTCTGATGAGCTTACCGTTTCATTGTTTTGTGTATGATGTGACATTATGTTTTGGTTACATAACAATAGAAGCACAATTATTCTGACTTATTACAAAGAGGATAAGTAATGTCATTATTGATGAATATGAAATTAGCCTCTATAATTAATTAGTTGGCCTTAAACATTTAAGTATTGATTTTAATTGAAATATACATTCAATGTATACTTGTTAACATTTGTTCCTCTTGTTTAACATACTGATACAGAAAACAAGATAGGTAGAAATTTGAATGGGAAATAAATGGGACAGAAGTAGAAAACATTGAAAAAACCAAATAGGTATAAATAGAACCTGGATAGAAATAAACGGGAGATGAGTCATTAGATGCAGTGTTTTTCTCTTGACAAGAGGATGATAGAAGTAGAAAACATAAACATGAATTAAAAAGGAAAAAAACATCAGAAGACATGAATGAAACAGAAAAAGAAAAAGAAAAAAAAGACTAATCATAAAAGCATGTTTTACAACCATTGAGAAAACTGCAAAACCCACTAAAGACACAGCTTCATAGTTCACTACAAAGCTAGGATCATTGATAGGCGCATATGCGCAGGAGTGTGCATAAAAAACCTCTGCCAATCTTTATCTTTGAATAGTGTCAATGCCTTAACATACTGCACTAGTGGTATGTCTCCCAGTTGAAGTAGGGCATCTTGACATGCATCAAGGGAATAGTCATTACCACCTGCGCTTACAGCCGCCGTGTCTATTGATCGTGCATGGGACTGTTTCGTCTTTGCCAACACATAGACGGTGAAAGCCACACAACCATTATGAAAGCCACTTGGCCGTGACTTTTTAGAATGACCACTGTCACTCTGGCTATGGCCCTTCCTCTTACTTTTGCCCTTACCTTGCTTCCATGTACTCATCTCCACACAAATCAACAGGAATGGCATTAGCCCCATTGCTACCTCTAGTTCCAGGCGACCAAAATTTGTTAAGCATATCGTCCTCTTTATCGGAGTCAGGGGCCCCTTGTGTGGATGCACGAGCTAAGGCCCCTGTCGCACAGTAGTGTTCAACAATGTCGGCCATTTCGTGGAAATACTCAAATTCTTTAGTCCTAAATTTCTTTACATTTTTTGATGCCTACCTCCAATTAGAAAATATGAACATAAGCATAGGGTACGTGTGACAACATTTTACAAATAAATGTAAGGAATAGAGAACAGGTTAATACGATACCTAATCCCAAAATTCATCAGGCGCAATAACCATGCCTACAATCGGATCCGATCCAAGACCAGTCTGTGCCTGAAGCTGCTTGAAAGTTAAGTAATCAGTTTTGAGTCGCTGATATTTTCGTCTGACCTGTTTTGGTATGTATCGGAACCCACACATATTTTGCAACTCTGTTGCAAAATGGGTCTAATGCCTCGGTGCCCAGATGGTACTATGGTTTTTTGATTGGTTTTTTTGCACCTCATCTCTCAACATGTTAATAAGCCATAACTCAATTCTGGAGCTCCACATTTTTGTGTCTTGATTATCATCTGAATTGTTGGTATCTATCTAACACAGAATTTATATTAAACTAAGCCTGGGCAAGAAATTGAAAACTAGAACACCTTCTGCAACTTCTCCATAACTCTTAAAATATCATTTGTTTCCATTGAACCTGATCACCACTAAAAAGGCAAGAAAATCATATGAAATATGATAAATAAAGATTTATCACTACAAAACTATGCTGGGAAATAGAAATTTAAATATGATAATTGATGATTAATGACAACAAAACTTCAAGAGTGTTGAGAAATCGCAATTTAAACATTCTTGTAAGAAAGCAGAAGAAGAAACCAAAAGCAGAACAAGAAGCAGCTAAAGGAAAACAAGTGGCGGTCGACCGACCAGAAGTCCTGGTGGACGACCGGCTCAGCCAATTTTTGCCCAGATCAGAGCTAACCCATTACACTTTTCAGCTATTCCACAACAAATCAACTGAAGGGCATACATACCACAGGAGCAGGAGTTGAATAATTGTCATCGGTGACGAAGTGAGTACGGCTAATTGATCTACGTTGCTTCGGTCGTCCTCTAATTCGAAAAAAGGCTTCACAACTTTGACCTACAACAGACACATTTTGAAAGTAAGCACATAATCAATCAGTTGCAGAACCCATATATATTTCTGTACAAAAATTTATGAACACTACACCTCTTCATTGTCATTGTTTTATTGCTCGGAGGGTGAATCGAACACAACGCACAAACTGACCGTCACTTGATTTGTGGGAGCTCGTCGCTGCCAATTTATGGGTGGGGGAGAGTCGGTTTGTAGGCATTGTTTGGATTTAAAGGTCAGAGATTCGTTCAAAGAGAGGAGGAAGTAATTTCAGAGCTGTAGTTCACCCGGGAAGCATCAGCTTTGCTCTTCTTTGGCATGTTAGCTTTTAAAATGGAGAAGACGAATCTGAGCGTATGTACGAACATAGGAGAGTTTTGGCTTGCAAACTGTTGCCAAACGTGAAACAGAAGTGTGTTTTGAAAACTGTGGTGGAATTAATTTCTGACCTCTTTATCCAAATAGAAGGTTCAGGGGAAGGGGTGGAATAAGGTTTTCGAAGCTTGTCCAAACACAGTCGTACATTTTTATTGTGAGTTTAGTTGTGAACAATGTTCTTCTCAAAATTTGAATTTTCATTTTCAAAAATTCCATAACGATCATGAAGAACTCAAATACTAAACTAATGAGAGGTTTGGGTGACAATAGATTTGAAAGATGAATGGTTTTGATAGATTTGAACTTTGAAAAGTTGAGTGAGAAACAATGGAGAATAAAACTAGGGTTTAATGTGTTTAGTGTTACACTTATAATGGATGTGTGGTATGAATTTCTTAATTCTAAGGTGTTACCCAAAAGACAATCTAAGAGGGGGGGGGGTGAATTATGTTTTTACAATTAAAATTAATAATACTCTAATAAATATTATGACTAGCACAATAGATAAATATAATTAATGAAATAAAAATAATTAAAACAAATGTCTTAACAACTATATCAGTTAATGATTTTAGCACAGAAAAAATGTGAAATATAGCTATGGCAATTTAAAATAAAACAAAGAGATAAGGGAGAGAGAGACAAACAAATTTATGGTGGTTCGGCTTTAACTCGGCCTACGTCCACTCCTCAAGCTTCACTTGAGATTTTTCACCATCTTCTAGCTTCACAGGGGTGCTAAGAACCTCTTTACAAATGGAGCAATCCTCTACAGATTTTACACAGACTTCACAAGCCCAAACCTTTGCAAATTTTAAGTGATTCACAATCACTCTCAAGATTTCAAGAATACAGTGTTTGTAACACTTTTACAAGATGAAATGGTATTTCTGTTTTCAAAGAAAGTTTACAATAAATATCTCTCAAAGATAGATATATAGAATGAAGCTTTGATTTTTCTGTAAATCTCACACAAGAAAGATAGACTTAAAACTATGTAACGCCCTCAAAATAATAACAATAAACCCATCAGATAAGACATGCATTTGCATATAAACTAACCACATTCTTTCATTCATTAGAGTTCCATTACATAAGTATTACATGTTAACCTCATAACAAAATGCCCTAATCACTATACAACAAGGGTAAACCCGGGATCGCTATAAACTATAAGGCTCAGTATATAATTTTTGAAATAGATGTGAGTGATTATAGATCAAAGAATATTTTCAGGTTTTTTATAACTTGTTTACATTAGAGGCTTTGCTATATATAATGAAAATTATAGCCGTTTATAGCCATTGTATTCATTTGAATTTATAGCTGTTGTACTTCCATCATTACCAAGTTGAATATCTTCCACTCCATCATTACAAATTTGAATATCTTCCACTTGAACCTTTTGACCTTTTGAACCTTTATAGCCGTTTATAGCCGTTGTATTTCCATCATTACTAATTTGAATATCTTTCACTTGAACCTTTTGAACCTTTTGTTCAGCTGTTGTGCTAGGCTGCTTGAACATTTGTTTTGGACTGTTTGAACTCATGATTTAATCAAATATTAAATACATTCTAACAACATTTAGGATAAAGGTTTAGGTGAGAAATAATGTGACAAAATAAATTTTGATTCTATTTTTCTCTTTCAAATAAATCATCAAAATAAATTTTGATTAAAATATAATTAAATAAATCATTAAAATAAATTTTGGATTCTATTTTTCTCTTTCAAATAAATTAAAACATAATTAAATAAATCATCAAAATAAATAAGTCTAACAATCTCCCCCTTTTTGATGATGGCACACAATAATATTTTGATTTGATTTGGGAGTAAGAAAAGCTCCCCATCAAGTTATGCTCTCTGAATTCATTTCTAAATACATAGGTTAGCACATGTGTAATAAATAAGCTTTAATTAGAGACATGACATGAGACTAAGATAACATCAAATTAGTTTGAAAATAATACCATAATACATAACATCATAACATCATAAGTTTTCTCCCCCTATGACATTATCAAAAGGAAATCATGGGTCAGAATCTAGAGGAGGAGGAAAATGATAGTGATAAATGGCATCAAAAAATATATAATCAAAATAGATATATACATATATACATATATATATATATATGTATATGATTCGCCCGCGTCTCTTTTTTGTTCGTCGAAAATCGCGTCAGGCACGCGTCCTCGCTTTTACGTCCAGCCGACTGACAAAAGCGAGACGGGTCAATCAGTCAATTAGCTGCCTCGACTCTCTCTCCCTCTTGTCGTCTTCTCCTCCGTCTTCTTCTTAATAAGCTCTTTATCATTGATTAGCTATTAGCTGGATTCTTTAGTTTTGCTCTATTTTTGGTTTGTAATAATATTCTCTTTACCATTGCGAATAGCATATGATTAAATGGACAAAAGTAATGATGCTATTAGTAATTGCTTTTAAAATTCATCTATCATAGCGATCATTGGTTACAATCACTTAAATTTGACATATTTTGAAAAACAATAATGAAAACAGACTAATCAAGAATTTTTTTTTTGATTGAATTAAGGAAATTAACTTTGTAAATTGGCGTTTATGATCTGATAATATTTTGTTCTATTAAACATTGTTCCAGATTTTTGTTGTGAAACTCAATTTACTTCTTTGTATGACGTATTGATATTTAGCCTCAAGCACCGGTCTGGAGCTACCCAATGGAGTCCATTGGACCAATAACATGCACAAAGGATGGCACATATATTGTTGGTGGAGCCCTTTCTGGAAATGCTTATGTTTGGGAGATTAATAAACTCTTTTTGTAGCCCCATATGCAAAGATCATTTTTTTTTCTTGATCACAATATAAAAAAATTACTAAATAGTTGTCTTTGTGGGCCATTAGCTTAATTCGTCCGTATTATTTGTAGTCATTATTTCCAAATATTGAGTGCCATGGTAATTTGTAGATTTCAAATGGAAGATTGGTCCGGACTTGGTGCGCACATCATAAATCAGTGACTTGCTTGACATTTTCCAACGATGATTCATTTCTTATTTCTGGTTCAGAAGATGGCATGATCATTATTTGGCCTATGATCGGGTAAAAAAAGTGAATCTTCCTTTCTTCAACAATTGTATGTTCATATTTGAATGTCGTTTAGTTTTATTGTTCAGGAAAAATAAATAACTAATTTTGTAATCACATTCTTTGGTGGAAGTTTGGTAGACGAGATAGATTGTTGAATTGTGCCTTTAATACTAAATTTTTCATTAGAGCATTCATCCTCTATAACGGGCCTATTAACTGCATCAAGTGGGTCAAGTTCAATTTTTTTATCAAGCTCCCTCGATGGCACATGCAAGGTTACTTAATTATGTTAAATGTTTCAAAATAATATCTTCCTAAGATGAGTATTTTTGTCACTTGAAATGACTTATTTTCGTATTGTAGGTATGGGACTTGGTTACTAGAAGACTTTTACAAACTCGAGCTTTTCCGCTACCAATTACTGCAATAGTTGTTGATCCAACAGACAAGAAGTTATTTTCTGGTAGCGCAGATGGAATGATTTTCTTGAATACACTTGATTTTGGAGTGGTGGAAGATACTTCAATTGTTTTAGAGGATGAGCCAACCGTGCTAACGGGACACAAGTCAGTACAATAAGTCTAAAGACAATAGAATTGACTATAGACATAACATATAAGTGGAGCAATTTGAGTAAATTGTATTTTCTTATGATAGGTCTCACCATCTGATATGTATGGCTAAGATTGTTTTATGTGGCTAGTTCTATATCCGTAGTCTTTTTTGCAAGTCAGTAAAATCTTGGGTTTGGAACTCTCAAAATGCTTTATAGAAAAATACTCTATTTAGATGTAGAAAGAGTTAGTGAAATTGTTGTATTTAAACCTTTTTTTTTCCCTTCCTCTTTTTGGTTACTTCGTAAAAGATTGTAAAAAAGTGTAGAAAGGGACAACCAACGTGTGGCAACCATCCCTGGGTATGAACATAGGAGCCCCTATCTATTAAGTGAGACATAGGGGATCCACAATCACTCCTGTAAGATGGACTTGAGCCATAGCTTGACCCCAACTCATTGAGGGCAGTGGTGACCCAGAATTAGTGAGCGTGACATGAGAATCCAAACCAACTTTAACAGTTTAAGACTTTTATTGTGATTTTTATAGACTAATGATGTTGTTACTTTATAGAAAATCAAACGGTCCTATTTGCCGCGATGTATATATTCTTGGATAGATTTTCATGTAAAAATGTACGTCAAAGTATCATAAGTTCGATAAATAAATAAATAAAAAGAGTTATCATAAGTTTGCATTAATCTCTAACTTGCACACTGTAACGCCCTCAAAATAATAACATTAAACCCATCAAATAAGACATTCGCTGACATATGAAATAACCACATTCTTTTATTCATTAGAGTTTCATTACATAAGTATTACATGTTAACAACAAAAGCAAAATGCCCTACGGGCTTACAGCTTTCCAAGTTAACACTTGGTTACAACAAAAGAGTACTAACTCGTTACACATTAAGCCCTTGGCTTGAATTTACATGTAATAGGAGCTACACAATGGAGTCCATTGGACAAATAACATGCACAAAGGATGGCACATATATTGTTGGTGGAGCCCCTTCTGGAAATCCTTATGTTTGGGAGGTTAATAAACTCTTTTTGTAGCCCCATATGCAAAGATCATTTTTTTTTATCACAATATAAAAAAATTACTAAATAGTTGTCTTTGTAGGCCATTAGCTTAATTCGTACATATTATTTGTAGTCATTATTTCCAAATATTGAGTGCCATGGTAATTTGTAGATTTCAAATGGAAGATTGGTCCGGACTTGGTGCGCACATCATAAATCAGTGACTTGCTTGACATTTTCTAGCGATGATTCATTCCTTATTTCTGGTTCAGAAGATGGCATGATCATTATTTGGCCTATGATCGGGTAAAAAAAGTGAATCTTCCTTTCTTCAACAATTGAATGTTCATATTTGAATGTCGTTTAGTTTTATTGTTCAGGAAAAATAAATAACTAATTTTGTAATCACATTCTTTGGTGGAAGTTTGGTAGACGAGACAGATTGTTGGACTGTGCCTTTAATACTAAATTTTTCATTAGAGCATTCATCCTCTATAACGGGCCTATTAACTGCATCAAATAGCTCAAGTTCAATTTTTTTATCAAGCTCTCTCGATGGCACATGCAAGGTTACTTAATTATGTTAGTTGTTTCATAATAATATCTTCCTAGCATGAGTATTTTTGTCACTCAAAATGACTTATTTTCGTATTGTAGGTATGGGACCTGGTTACTGGAAGACTTTTACAAACTCGAGCTTTTCCGCTACTAATTACTGCAATAGTTGTTGATCCAACAGACAAGAAGTTATTTTCTGGTAGTGCAGATGGAACAATTTTCTTGAATACACTTGATTTTGGAGTGGTGGAAGATACTTCAATTGTTTTAGAGGATGAGCCAACCTTGCTAATGGGACACAAGTCAGTACAATAAGTCTAAAGACAATAGAATTGACTATATAGACATAACATATAAGTGGAGCAATTTGAGTAAATTGTATTTTCTTATGATAGGTCTCACCATCTGATATGTATGGCTAGGATTGTTTTATGTGGCTAGTTCTATATCCGTAGTCTTTGTTGCAAGTCAGTAAAATCTTGGGTTTGGAACTCTCAAAATGCTTTATAGAAAAATACTCTATTTAGATGTAGAAAGAGTTAGTGAAATTGTTGAATTTAAACTTTTTTTTTTTCCTTCCTCTTTTTGGTTACTCCGTAAAAGATTGTAAAAAAGTGTAGAAAGGGACAACCAGCATGTGGCAACCATCCCTGGGTATGAACATAGGAGCCCCTACCTATTAAGTGAGACATGGGCCCGTAGACATGGGGGATCCACGATCACTCCTGTAAGATGGACTTGAGCCATAGCTTGACCCCAACTCATTGAGGGCAGTGGTGACCCAGAATTAGTGAGCGTGACATGAGAATCCAAACCAACTTTAACAGTTTAAAACTTTTCTTGTGATTTTTATAGACTAATGATGTTACTTTATAGAAAATCAAATGGTCCTATTTGCCGCAATGTATATATTCTTGAATAATTTTTCACGTAAAAATGTACAGTCAAAGTTATCATAAGTTCGATAAATAAATAAATAAAAAGAGTTATCATAAGTTTGCATTAATCTCTAACTTGCAACTTAGCCAGTTGGCTTTTTCACTATGTGGTTTAATATAATTTTGTGGATGTAACTTTACACACTCAAAATTTCACATACATAAAAGGGTGGCAATGAGTGTTCTACAATGATCCTCTCTAGTCTCTATACCTAGTTTAAAAACTTGTGTACATTTGTTGTTAATGTGAACACAAACAAAAACTGAGAACTGACCAATCTTTGTTGATGCAGTGGATCTGTAACTACTTTGACATGTTGCGGATTGGGCTTGGTCTCTGCATCTGAAGATTGCACTGCCTGCCTTTGGGATGTTGTCAATTGTGTAATCATTCGAAGATTCAACCACCTAAAAGGCAAGTGGAATCTCTCTCTTTTTTTAAAAAAAATTAATTTTGTAGTTGGGTTAGGGGAATTTAATACCATCCAATGTCCACTCCTATAGTTTTTAACTCTAATTTTTGGAGGTTTCTAGATTCGTATTGCTAATTTTCTATGTTTTCTGAAAATAAAAACAGAAAAAATAAAATGAAAACATAATCAAATGGGCCCTAAGTTTTGCTTAACAGGATGACATATACGTTCATTTTGATGGGATTTATATGTTCCAACATTTTAAAAACAAAGTTGAAACAAGGTTGTGGAATTTTACATTTTGTATGATGTAACTGCACACTAGTCTTTTTTTTTCCTATTGAATCTATGTGTTTCATCTATACCTAAAAATTAACAATCAATAATAAAGTCATTCTTTGATTTATTTGCAGGTTTCATAACTAATTTGGTTGTGATCCCACAATTGTCACTGTTTCCTAGGATGAACCATAATTATAAAACCTTTAACCAGTTCAGAGTTTCTGTGCTTCATAAGTATCCTAAGCCAGCCAACTCATCTGAAGGAGTACTTACTTACCTACCTTCAAGTTCTTCTAGGGATAAAGGTCATTGTATTGCCTCTGAATTTCGGACCACCGATTTATTGAAACAACAGATCCTTGAGTTGGAGGTTCTCTCTCTCTCTCTCTCTCTCTCTCTCTCTCATGGCTTGGCATGATTGTGGTTGTGGTTGTGATTGTGATTGGATAGACCGGGGAGACAACTGCAGCTATGGAAATGATGGTGGAAACAAGGCTGGAGAGTGAAGCTTGGGCCACAAGAATGGGAAAACATGTGATGGAGATGAACAAGCATTTGCAGTCGTGATTACTCAATATGATGCAATGTCGACTATTGCAGCAACCTTCCAATGTTAGCTTAACCATAGTTCAGAGGAAGAGAAAGATTGCCAATGTTGTTGAACAAGGGAAGGAGCACCAACACCATCCAGAGCCACAAGGTTCTTAACTGGTTTCCTAGTTAAGAAAAATTCTCCTCTCATCCCAAATTTTCCTTTTCATCAAATTTGATGAAAAAAAATAATCACCGATACTTTATCTTTTTAAATTTTATCAAATTTAAGACCTAGTTTGGCATAATACAAAAAAGTCAAAAAATCACTATCCTGTTTAAGTCACATCATCTCATTTAAATCACATCATCTCTCTACCACATCACTTCAAACCCAACCCATATTTCACAATTTTTCGCAAAAAGTCAAAAAGTACACTTATTTAGATCATCCCAAACAACCCCTAAATTTGATGAATTCTCAATTTGATACCAAAAAAAAAAAAAAAAGTTTCTCCCTTGATTTAATAAAAGGTAATTCTGCTTATACTTCAAACTTTTTTACACTCTTTAATTTAATTTAATTTTTATGGAAAATTCTATTTACACACGACTAACTATTTCAATACACACCATCACCTCCCTTTGTGCTTAGTTCACACTACACTCAAATTGAAAGTTTTGATTTTTTTTCTCAATACATACCACTATTTTTCAAATAATATTGAACTACCCTTCCTCCTCCACCAAAACCCTAACCACGGCCAACGCCGAGAGTTGATAGCAAGTAGCCACCCTTTCTCTTCAGTCGTTGCCTTCTCCACAGCCTCCCTACCTTCCTGCCAATGCCATCAACCCCTTTTCGCCAACACTCGTTGCTGCAGCCACCACTAACCCCTCTTCTCCAGCCCTGCTGCTCCTTCCCAACTCCGCCGTCCATCCTTCTACCATAATATGCCCTTCCCAACCTATAATGAACAACCTCACTCGCCCTACTGCCATTGCGAACAACCCCAATCCCTATCTTCGCCATCGTGATCAACACTGTTGCCTGTCCTTACCATTGTGATTCATCTCCTCTCCACCTCTATTGTAACCTAACCCTCATGTCTCCTCCTCCACCACAAAGAGAGAGAGAATATTAAAATGAACCACAATTTATTGTAATTTTCAAACATGATTGTACATCTTCTGTAACAAATTCACTTATGTATCAACAACACAATCAATTTCAACATTGCTACATTGGGTGGGTATAGAATTCTATAAAAAATTTAACCCAAAAAAAAAAAAAAAAAAATGTCCTCTTCATGAATATAGAGTTGAACTAATTTATATGTGCTCAAAAATTTATATCTGAACAAAGAATAAAAGTTTAATTTATTTTAACCGAACTAACTGAAAATGTTCAATTTGTTATGTATTTATATTTTGTCAATCTTATTAATTTGAACAAAATCATATTGTTCAAATATAAATAATTGAACATTGTGCAAAAATTCAACTCTGATTAACTGAACACATAGCGAACAAACTCGTCTTCCCAATGATTATATGAACGAGATAAATAAAAAACTAAAAAGCTATGTAATAAACTAACCTTTTCAATATTCAAATCAACATTTTTAATGTTTATATCGGAACCAACCATCTCAATGTCATCCATGGTGAAGATGATGAGTGTAGTGTATTAGATAATAATGGTGAAGATGATGTGTGTTAGAAGATAATGAAGAAATATAGTGTTTATATGTTTAAACCCTAAACCCTCTAGGTGATGATGGTGTGTGAAGAGTATTAATTTTGTATTTTTCAATATGAAATCTTTGAATGGTTAGAATACACACCATTAACAGATTAAATTTGTATTCTAAATGAAAAGACCATTAAAGACAATATGGGGGTGTATTCTATCTATTCAAAGATTTCATATATAAAAACAAAAAGCACAAAACACTCTTCAGACAACATCATCACCTATACACATATAAACATCCAAAATAAATTGGTTTTGAAGATTTAGGATTTAAGAACAATGAAATCAATTGCTTTTAGGGTTTAAGAATATTGAAATCAATTGGTTTTGAAGATTTAAGATTGGAGCATATTAAAATCAATTGGTTTTGAATATTTGCACACCATGGATGACACTAAGATTGTTGATTTCGAATAATGCAACAATGAAATGATCAGTTTAATATTCATCTTTTTGGGTCCTCTAAAAAAAAAAAAAATACTTTAGCTTTTTGATTTTTTGTTTATCTTGTTCGTATAACCATTGGGAAGATGACTTTGTTTGTCACATGTTTGGATAATTAGAGTTGAACTTTTACAAAATGTTCGATCATTTTTATTCGAACAAAACAATTTTGTTCAAATTATTAAGATTGACCAAATTATAAATGTTCATATATATAAAATTCAATATTTTAATTTGAATTAGTAACCAAATCAAAAGAAAATAGGAAAACATATCAAGGAGAGAATCAAATGTGTAAATCAAGGGTGAGAATGACAAATCTTAAACACCGACAATGCACTGGTGAAATAACAGTAAAACGACGATGAAGATGGAGATATGAAACGACGATAATGCACTGGCAAGCCAACAACGAAACGACAACGATGATGGAGATTTGAAACGATGATAATGTACCAGCTGAATGAAACCCTCCGCTGGCGATGGAGATCTTCAACGCCAACGATGGAGATCTATGGAATTCTGAAGATGGAGGTCTCTGGTGTTCTGAAAATGGAGATATTTGGGTGTGGATTATAGTGTGTATTCCAATAGACAGGTAGTGTGTTACCTTAGGACTAGTAATGGAAAGTTAAGGTATGAACTAAGATATTTTCAAACCCTAAAAATTATTATGTGTGCATACTACGTAATGGTATGTATTGAGAGGATTAGTGGTGCGTAAATAAAATTACTCTTAATCTGTTAATGGTGTGTACTGAGGGGATTAGTGGTGTGTAAATAGAACTTCCCTTATATTTATATTCTAATAATATCCTCAAATGAAAAGACCATTAAGGACAACATGGGGGGTGTATTCTACCCATTCAAAGATTTCATATTTAAAAACACAAAATACTTTTCACACACCATCATCACCTATAGGGTTTAGGGTTTAAACATATAAACATTGTATTTCTTCGTCATCTTCCAACACTCATCATCTTCACCATTATTATCTAATACATTACTCATCATCTTCACCATGGATGACACTGAAATGCTTGGTTCCAATATAAACTGCTCGCTTTATATATTTATATTACCATATTGTGCATTACCATAGATAGAGTTTCTATACTTAGCTTCTTCTCCTGTATAAAGGAGCCCTGTGTTCACTCGTATTATTCATTGAATATAATACAAAGTTTTCTCCCTTTCTCTTTTTCTCTCTCTCTAATATCATAATATGGTATCAGAGAACAGGTTTTAAGTCTTAGTCTTTTTTTTCCTTTGCTCACTGCCCGTACATAGTGGCACTGTAGCACCTCTGTTCAAGCACTGTTACAGTGACCAAATTTTTTTCGACCTTATCATCAAATTGATCAGAATCTTCTCACGATTCCAACACTACTAACCTCATCACTAGCAAGTTCTCCACGCACGCTCACAAGACGATTTTGTCGTCAACGCGTCAATTGCTATCGCTTCTGCTTCCACTCTCCAACGAGCAATCATGCACAACGTCAGTCCTAGCCGCAGAGCCACTCTAGCTATCTCCGCCGCGCTGTTCCAATATAGTCACATCAACAGTTGACCTTTTTGAAGTCAGCCCTATCTGACGTCAGCCTCCGTGCTCCTGTGCACATCATTATTGACATCAGCTTCATGTGCTCTTGTGCCTTTTCTGTTATTATGCACTATGCACGTCTCTACAGAGATCGTGTGTTGTATGCCTCTTCTGTTAACGTGCGCTGTGCACGCTGACATTACCCTTACCTATTGCTGACGTCATTTTTGGCTTATTTCGCACCTGGTCATCTACTGGTCCATTTTTTAGCTATTTCTGGGCCAACTCAGCTGTTATCCAACTATTTTTGGTGTTTCAGATTCACTGGGACACTCTGTTTCTCCCAATTTTACTCCGACGCCACCGGGCCTTTTTTGTGACTAATACTTTGATCACTTCATGGATTATTCAGATAGTTTTCCTCTATATTGTGGCTTTTCTGGATCCTCTATCAGCTAGCATCATTCTTCGGCTCAGTTTTCCTCTACTATTATTGCACTTGCCTTATCTTCCACTTATACTGTTCATGATATTGAAGCTATTGTGAACAAGGTTTTTCTCTACTTCTGGTACACCCTCTACTACTCTCTCAGTTGCTCTAGGTACCTCTTCATGGTATCTTGATTCAGCTTGTTGCAACCATATGACCTCTGACCCTACACTGTTTTCTTTTACCACATGTCCTTGTAATTTATCTATCATTCACATTGCTGATGATTCTCAAATACATGTTAGTCAAATAGGCCATATTTCTACTTCTAATGTCTCTTCCTCACACTTATGATCCTCAATCTTACACTTAATCTTATTTCTATTGGTCAACTTTGTAATCTTGGCCTCACTACTCTATTTCTCCAACTGATTGTGTTGTGTAGGATCCGAAGACGGGACAAACACTCGGGATAGATCGTAGGCATGGACGTCTGTACGAACTCATCCACCTTCACATTCCCTCCTCCAGTCCTTCCACTGTCGAGACTGTTGCTTCTGTTACTACTAGTTCCCCTCTTATTTTATGGCATTCTCAGTTAGGTCATGTGTCTTTTGATCGTTTACGCTCTCTTGTTTCAAATGGTCAATTAGGCATTCTAAATGATAAAATAGATTGTCTATCTTGTCAACTTGCAAAACAACCTACTTTACGATTTAATGCTAGTACCTCTATATCTCATGCACCTTTTGATCTCATACACTTTGATGTTTGGGGGCCTTCACCTAATATCACTATGGGGGGATCTAAATACTTTGTCATATTTGTCGATGATTTCACTCGTTTTACCTGATTATTTCTTATGAAATCTCGCTCTGAGTTACAATTGGCCTCATTTGGCAAGTGGTGATTTTAGCCAAAAAGCTGCTAAAAAAACCAAAAAACCAACAACCTATACCAAAAAGTCAAAGATTCCCTTTTCTTTCTAATTTTTGCAC